GATGCAGCTCGTAAGAACATCAGACCTGCTCTACTGAGGTGAGACCAGTGGCCCACCTCAACCCATATTCTGCCTCTGCTGCTGGTGGTAGGACATGCTGCATAAGGATTATTACGAGCTCAACACTGCTTATTCCCTTTGGTATCTCTTCACAGACCTGCTGCCCATGAATTTATCTAAGTGCTTCTTGAACATGCTGCACCCACAGTCTTCTGCAGGAATAAATCCCAGAAGCTCACTCCTGATTGCATGAGAAATGGGCTTTCTTTCATCTAATATCCTAGCTCAATCCCCATTTTTCCAGCGTGCATACCATTCTTCCTTGCATGCAGGGCGAGAAAATGATTTGTTTGTTTTTTAATCTCGTTCTCTGTACTAGGGTCTGTCTGTACAAGAGGTATTTCATGAAGGACGTGACAGAACTGTGCCAGCGTCACAGTTTGCAGCTACTTGTAGATGTGCAGTTGCTCTCACATAACTGGAAATGCAGTCTGCTCTGCAGTTCTCACGTTCTTCTTGCGTGACTCTTTCACTGAGGATCTCCACGGAGCAGTTATCGTCTGATATTTCCTTGGTAATACCGGAGGAGGATTAGCAACACTGGAAGAACTCTGCAGAGATTACTCTTTTGAGATAAAATTTCTTTGCAGCAAAGCTAGAGATAAGACAAACGCCAGCTCCAGTCAGCCACAGACTTTCCCTCACTGCAGATCCACCTCTGGATATGAACTTCATGCAGACGCCAATTATTTCCATGCTGCAGCAGGCAGACTCCCTAGACCCAGGCTAAATCTCAGCTCCAGCTAAATCACACGTCCTTGGTCTAGAGCATGCGGCCGAGAAAGCAAGGAAGCCCAGCACTGGATAGGTACAAAACAGCACCTCCTTCCTCATACACCAGACACAGCTACGAAAACAGTGAGTGAAAATTTGTTTTCATGTCATAGGTACTCAAGAAATGCAGTATATGCATTACTACTGTAGTGTTACAGCTCCAGGTATATTGTACGTTCTCTCCCAGTGCAAAAATCTATGTCCTGGAGGAAAAACAATCAGCTTTAGACTAAATTAGATTACAAACGAGATATGCTGTCAAAACATCTTTATGAAGATTTCTAGCATTTCTCTCTCCTCCAGAAAACTGCAAGGATTGCAGCAGCAAATGAATGTAGCCTGGCTGGTTTGGGCTCAGCTGCATGTAAGCCATCACATGCTACGTATTTTGGGTCAGATGGGGTGGTTACAGATAGGAAAGCAAACTTCAAGCTCCTAGAGCATGAAGTTTGCACCACTGCAGGGCTTCAAAAAGAGGTTAGGCAAACATCGGTCAGAAAAGGCAGTGATGTATTTGATCCCGCCCTGAGCAGAGAAAGGAACAAGATAAGCTCGTGAGGTCCTTTCCAGGCTAATTTATGTGAGCCTGTTAAAGAGCACGAACCAGCAAAGCACAAGTCTCTGCTTCCATTTCACATGGCACTTGTCAGGTAGGTCTGCTGTGAATATCTGCCAAATCCGCTGCCTCCCTAAGTGGCATGTTATAGGGAAATGAGTGAGGAGCTTTAAAAGAGGCAACACGCAGCATCCAGGCATAAATACTGCTGCAAACAAAACACTTCCCTAAATATTGTGAAATCCACATGTTCGTTCTTAGCAACACAATTCAAGCTGGTGATAGCAGTGGAAAAACAGCTGCAAAGGGCAGGGAGGAAGGATGGAGGGAAGGAAAAAAGGACATCAGAAGAAACGCTGAGCTCTGTATACCCCATGCATACCACCACCAGGAAGGCTCTACTCCATCAGCTACTGCTCATCATGGTGAAAGGAAGAAGAAGGCTCATAGCAAGGAGAAATAACAGCCTTACTGATGGCTATGAGAGATAAACTGAGGAAAGCATGAAGAAATGAGTCAAAAAGATTAATATACTTGAAAACACTGGCAAAACAAGAGAGAAAGGAAAAGTAACTATTTGTTCAATAGCATGCAGTGTTCTGTAGCGTACTTACTGCTATATTTTTTAATTACCATGTCACAAGCCTTTCCAAACAAAAACCAGTGAGTTCTTTTCCAGAACTCACTGTCACTACATTTCCAATATATTCATATATATAGTAGGAGAGTAGCCACTCTCCTAGTGTCATCAGCATGTGAATTAGCACGATTTATATGTTTAGGTCTGTTTTCTGCTCCTCCTCCTTTGTCACCTCCCATTTTGTATGCCCAAATCTAACTGCCGAGCACCAAGGGCAAGCTTCCAGCCCTTCGAAGTCACCCCCCACCAGCTGAGCTGTAATCACTGACCTTACGCAAAGCCTCCTGCCTGCCTCCTCTGCGAGGTAAAGCACAAGTACTTAAGCAAGCCCATTTCATCCAGCAATCGAGGCAGGCTGAGAGCACGCACATGGTTAATTAGCATGGTTCAGCCAACAGGCAATAACTCATTAAGCTGCAGTAACTCGACTATGTTTGATCATGTGCTTTATGCCCCAAGGCACTTCATAAGTAAAGCAGTAAAGTCAACTTATCTGCCATCTCAATTTCTCTCTCCCTCTTTCTTTTTTTTTCTTCTAACCACACGAAATCATGGTTAAACCACAGAGGATAATTTCTGGACACAGAATAGTTCACCACCTTCCTCTTTTTGGCAAGCTAAGTGCTCTCAGAGATTGTTATCATGTCTCCCTTCAGCCTTGCCTTCCCCAGGCTAAAAACAAATGCTTTCCTTCATCCCCCATAGCTGCAGCTCTGTAGACACCCTCTCGGCCGTGTTGCTCCCCTAGGAACTGCATCCTCTTCTTTCCTGAGGTGTGATGCCAGAAACTGGTCCCAGTGATGCAGCCAAAGGGATTAACCCTCACGACATCCCTGCCTGCACCACCCAGCCCGTTCCTTCTTCCTCCTGTTGCTGTGGCATTGCTCCATCACAGCCTCCAGCTGTGCTACCCCGGTGCTACCTGGCTGCTCTGTCCCACTGTGTACCTCTGCAGCTGATTATTTCAACCTGCAGATTTGCACTTGTCTTCGCTAAATTGCATCCTGCTTATTTACAGGCCGTTCCCCTAATTACTGAGCTCTCCCGAGCACTAATCCTCTCCTCCCTAGCGTCCCTTGCTTTTAGCCGAAACTCTAACAAAGGGGCTCTCCACTCCTTCATCCACTTTATTAATGAAAACACGGAATAGTTCTGAATTCAGGCCATATCTCTAGGGAAGCAGCTCGATAAATCCTCCCAGTTTGACAGGGCTCACTTGATAACAGCTCTCCGAGGACTCAGTAGTTTTGTATAACCTCTTTCCCCCTATTCTTCTTATAAAAACGCTGCCTCTCTAAAGATGGGTGTTGTAGTTACAGCTTCTGCCTATTATATGGGCAGCAAGAAAACATATATTTTGCATAGTTAATGCTAATATAACATGTAGAAGGGAAGCTAACATCCATATGTCAGAGCTGACTTGAGCTATTTTCTGTTTGGAGGATTGGGATGTGGCCAAGTGCCGCAGTGCATCCATTGCAAACCCATTCCAGCCTTCACCAGAAGCATCTACTGGTGCTCCCCACTGCAAATAGGATGATGGACAAGGTGGCGTGGGGAATAATTTGGTGTAATAGCTCCTAGATCACAGGCTTCCCAACTTCCATGAGATTTTAGTCAAGCCCACGCGAGTCCCGATGCACCTTCTGTCTCCAAATACAAGGGATGGATTTCCAACAGTGATCTCCACACCTGCCCAGGTACAGCTGCTGGGCTTCAGAGCCAACATCTGAGAGGGCTTTTTGTTTTCATTTGTCAGAAAGGGTTCCCAGGAGGGGGAAAGGGAGTCACCTAATTCATTCCCTTGAGCTCTGCTAACATGGTGATTTGCACGACGAAAGGCAGGGGATAACAAATGCAGACATACAGAGAACTTCTTGTACTTTTCACATTGTCCTGGAGAACAGGAGCATGCAAGAAGGTAAAATAAAAATGTAGCTCTAAACACCTGTTATATTGCACAGCGTGGTAATAAAATATTGCTCACTTAAGCAGGAGCCTTTGAACTGCTCTCTAGAGGAACCCTTCCCTCTCCATTGGTTTTTATAGGCAGCCCAGGGAGATTATGTGCTTAAGTTAGTCATTTAAATTTAGATACCTAGAACAAACACTGCAAACTCCCCTTCTCCCTCCCAGTATAAACACCTCATGACGACAGAAGTCTGTCCTTTTTTTTTAGAAAAAAAAAAGAACTGGTACCGCAAGAAAAAGTATTTTGCTCGTCTTTAGTGTGGTGGTTGTTTTTTGGGTTTTCTTGTTGTCCTTCTTCTAACATCAATTCTGCCTAATAACTGAATGGGAACCGAGCAGATGATGCAAATGAAGCAAGTGCATTTCTGATTGCTGGCCGAGCACTCGCATTGTGCTAACAAGAAACTGAGCTGTAAAATCAAGTCAAAATATTTTTTTCCGCAGCTCCCAGTGGAAGTCAAAGCACATGGATATTTGTGCTTCCTCTTGCTCCGCAGGCGGCTTGGCGCCCCTTCCAGCGGCGACGAGTCCTGCCAGAAAAGCCCATCAGGTCTTTCAGGTTCCCACTGGCAGGAAAAGTACCGTGCTCACTGCACCAACGTTTGGAAAAGAGAGAATGTGCTGAGCCTCAATGTCCTTGGAGGCTCCATAAATCACTCATAGAAAAGAGCGGGGTTTTGGTTGGGCAGCGCATTGTATGCCCGAAACGGAGCTGGAGGAGGACCTCCAGAGTCGCTATAGAGGGATTTCATCACGAGGAAGGGAGGCTGAGCAAACAGCGAGGATGACAACAACATCCTGTCCTTGCAAAGAGGAGAACGGCTTTTGAAGGAATGACAGAGCTTTGGATCTCAGCTCCCCGCGGCAAGTTCAGGCAAGTTCAGCCTCATTGCTTTTGTGCGATGGAAGGTTGGGGTTTATTATTAGATCGAACTCGAAAGAGCCTTGCCAAGTTTGAAAGTTCATGATGTTTCGAGCAAAGAAAAGGAAGTGTCTTACCTCTTACAGAGGCTCGTTTCTCCGTTATGAAACAGGCGAGGAGCTATTTAGCTCTCGTTCCCAACAATGTCCGGAGCCTGAATGGAAGATGGTTGGAGGACAGCCTGCTGAAACCTGGAGGCAGCTCTGCCCTTCACAGCCTGGGAGCCAAGGCACTGCCGCGTTTCTCCTCCCGAGTGAAATTCCCATTTCCCGGGTTTGTTTTCTCTGCTGCGAGTGAGATAAACATTGATACAGCACAGAGCAAACAGAGTCCTCTGTGAGGCTCACGGAGGGATTACTGGCTACTCAAACAGGGGACGATGAGGTGGGAATTAAATTCACACAGCCTCCAGGCTTTGCTTACAGTTCTTTCTTTCTCACCCTCCCCAAACCCTGTCCTCTGGCCATCTGGGCATTTGCCTTCCTCTGAAGGCTGTCCCACAGCCTCACTGCTCTCAAATTGGAGACATCCTCCAGTTCCCGGCCCTAGGTCAATAACATCCAGTTCACACCCATTGGCTTTTGTGTCCACCATCTCCCCAGCTTATGTCCTTCCTTTGGGGCTAGACAGCAACCAGAGCTCCCCTAGTTTTGTTAAGGAAAACAAGCCAAAACCTTCTATTCACTTTTTATCAGGTCGTTTTTTTTCCCCCAGCCCAGTTTTACATCCGTATCTACACTTGGTCTCAGTAAAATTTATCTTTCCTGAAAGTGAGAAAATGGAGTTGGATCTGGGCTTGCCAGCACCTTCACTGGTGCTCCAAGTACATCCTTCTTCCATACCAGCCTGGTACCTACTGGGGCTACTTTGCATTTTTCATAGGCTCCTCACATTCAGGGTCCACAGTCAAGTCTGGTGCTTAGACCTCTCCAGCCTGGGTGACTTTCAGTGGACTGATTTCCCAGAGCACAGCGCAGAATTTCCTTTCTGCACCACTCTGCAGTCCTGTGCTATCCCATTTCATCTCACACGTCCTACCCCACCCCTTAAACTCATCCAGTTCTTCCCAAAAAAATACTCTGCTGTGACAATGCATTAAAGCACACTTCATCAGCACACTCCCATTTGTTTGTGCCAATAGTCATGTGTGCATTTAACAAAAGCAAACCCAAAATCAGTCGTCAAGGAATTCCGCCAGCTGGTTCCCTCTGGCGCGATGCTCTCCTAAGGGACCAAAGCTGGGTTTCTCACCGTGAGCCAACTCCTTGCCCATCCCATCATTCTCACACTAATGTCCATCTTCATTAGCTTCTTTGACAATTTCCCTGGTTTCTCTGTATGAAAATCACCTGTTGAAGTGCAGTTTTGTTAGATCTACTGTTGGATTCATGGTTTCATGTAGCCTGGTGGGTAAATCTTTAGAGGTCCTGGGATGGAGATGATCTTGCCTGCATGGTAAGGTGCATTGACCACACTGCTTTGTTTTCACCTGTGGCATGGCCCCTGGATTTTTCATGCCCTAATTCCTAACAGTTTCCCTAGCTTTACCCCAAATAATTAACATTTTATAGAAAACTGAATTGTGGTGAGGTTTTTTGTTTGTTTGTTTGTTTTTAGCTTGATGTCCTACCTGAATGTTTCTAGTATCTGTCTCTTCCCTCACTGACTTCTTACTCACCTCCTCACCTTTCTAGTCACACCACTGAAAGGACTTGCTGATTTTTTTCTTTGCAAATTCCAACTCGAGTTACAACAGCTTTCTCTTAACATCAACCATGGAGATCTCTTCACTTTTCCAATTCTTTTTTGGTCCATCTTCCTCCTGTGTCCCTCTGTGGCTTGGCCAAGTAGATCTGGAGCATTCCCTTGCTAAGTCCCCTACAGTTTCTTAAAGTGATGCGTTGACTTTGGTGTGGCTTGTTTTTGGGAAAGCAGTGTCAGACATGGCAGAGGGGGATGTCTGAGCAGCTGAGAGGACAGCACTGGCCTTGGTGTGATCTGTGTGTTGTGAGGGTCGGGCTATAAAAGGCTGAAGAAGTTCATTCCTCCTGTTGCACACTGGGACCATCCAACAGAGCTGTGCCATGCATACTGCAAAGATTTCTCTCACCTTGTGTGCATGGGAAGCTCAAACTTAAAACACTTACCCCTTAACAGAGGTTAGATTGAATGAGACCTGACTCAAATCATGCAAGATTTTACATAGGAAAGCCTGCACCATTGCTATCACCTCCCTTTTATCCCAGCCGAAGCTATCCCTCCCGTTGTGATGTCTGATCCTGCAAATTGCAAAATACAGTGGGGTTATTCTGGGAACCCCTCCATCCATCTTCTGTCCTGGATCCAGAGAGCACTCCTGCTTGGGTACTTGCTGCTTGGAGCATCCTTCCCGGCACTGCTGTGTCTGCTGCGCTGTCCCACCCTAGCATCCTCTTCTGGGGGAGGCTGAGCAGCAATTCGGTCGCTGCTGGGGTTTCCTTTCCAGCGTGCTAACTCTGAGTGATGATGTGGCAGCGGCGCTGATGTTATGTGACAGATCAAATGAATGGGAAAGGAATATTTGTGTTATTTTGAAATGCCAAATTGAATTCACTTCCAGCTGGCGCCAATCTATCTTCTTCCTTTCTCCCCACCTCAACTTTTTATTCAATATGTACATGTGTATACTGCCCAGACTGTTTCAGCAGCCCCTTCTGAGGGCTTTTCACAGACACACACACACTCACTCACACAAAACAAGGTCTGGGATTTTTCCTGCACTGACATTATTAGCTGCCCATCACTTCCACAATGAATATGCTAGTGCTGTCATAAGGCGTATGCCGTCAGTGGGGTTTTCTTCCCACCTCTGCTCTTTAAACACAGCAGAAGTTCCCTTTTCTATGTAAAGAGAAAGAAAAAAAAGATCATGTTTGCAGGCACCAGCTGGGGCTGGCACCAGCACAGGCACCAGATACACCCAAAGCCGATCAGAAGCAAGCAACCAGGCTCAGAGGCAGGACTCACCATGAAATAAAGCCCAGACGCCTGGGAATAGGGTCCCAAACACCCTTATTTGGTGTATCCATCTGTCCCATCTCCAAAATGTCATTGACTTTCTTGTTTTCATTAGGCTTCCAGAGAGTTTATCTAATCTTGCCTTGAATACATTGGCTGTTCGGATCATAATTACCTCGCTAGGCAAAGTACTCCGTTATCTGATGTCCTTTCTGATAGGCATTTTTTTCCCATAACTGTGGGCTCAGTTGAGCTTCCCTTAAGCACTGGTCATTTATTCCTTTTTCTGCTTGTGATACCCACTATCAGAAGCTGTTTTCTTCCACCCAGGTGGTATCTTCTGCTTGATTTTTAAGGGTATCGATGGGTGGAAGGAGACAATTCTTAACTCATATTTTTAAGCCTTTTGCCCCTGCAGGCTTTTTATTGAAAAACACAAGCAGGCAAAGCATCTTCGAAATGTAAAAGCCACACAACAGGCTGAAAACGAAAATGGAGTCGAGCCTTTCACTTCTGTAAAGACAGGTGGTTTCAGACAGGAGGACAGTAGCATCTAAAAAGATGTGCTCTCACATGTTTTCAAAACATATTCATCACCTATCCCAACATTATACAAGTTGAAACATTATTAAAAAAAAGGCTAGAGCAAAACAGGCTGAGGACAGTAACATCAAATACCTTTTCCTCCCCAAATAATTTCTGAGCTCTCAAGCTAATCCTATTAGAGTCCTCAAAAGTGAGCAGAAATGCTCTAAAATTAATAGGAAACTTTATAACTAACCAATGAAGGGATTTCAGAGCCCATGTAACCTGATTAAATACTCTGAATCCAGTTGGCATCCTCCCATATCATTCACTATCAGCTGCAATCTTTTAATAGCACAAGCTGCGAGGTACAAAAATAACATGCTACAATGGCCTACAGTTCTCTGAAATACAATTAAACTTTCATTAGTTGAATTACCCCTTAAGAATAATCAGTTTTTGGCGAAATATGACCACATTACTTTGTCTTTTGCATAAGCCTGATCTGAAATATTTGACATGGTTAAAAAAAAAAAAAAAAAAAAAGTAGAGTCAGAAAACCCTGTAAATGTGGTTATGAAAAGCAGACGTTCCCTGAGGATGTGAGAAGAGTCAGGGAAATTACCCAGTGAAAGGCCAGGTTAAGCCAACGCCGTGTGCCCTTTTCATGGGTCATGTGCCTCCTCTCAGGAGCTGGAGGAGAAGAGGACCACTGCACGCAGCACCTCTGCTTCTAGGAAAGCCTCTGCAGAAAGGACTGCTTGGAAATTCAACACTCCCCTCTAGCTTTATTTATTTATTCGTTTTATTTTTTGATTGAAACCAGAAGCAGCTTGAAAGGAAGGAGAGCTCCTACGTGCTCGTATTCTGGAGCCTCTTATGTGGGAACAGGGCTGTTTTCATAGTTAAGGTGTGATCCGTGCACGTCCTCGAGGTTAAAACCAGAAGGCTTGTGCAGAAGCAAGCACACTGAGAGGATGTTGCCTGGCTTGTCAAAACCTGGCATTTGGCACAGCAGGAAGCAGAGCTGCCTTGGGAAACACCAGCCCAGCCCATGAATGTCAAGGGGAAGAGCCCTGCCACCAGCCCCCCCAGCCCCATCCTCCTTTGTGGCCATAGTAGATAACAAGAAACTGGACTCGCCCCAGAACTTGGCAGTTTTACTTATTTTTAGCTGCCTCACATAACTTCGGCAGCAGCTGATTGCACCTGTCATGGCTGGAGCTGCACAGAGCCTTTCATGTCATCGTTACAGCGATCTTCAGAGAAAAATACACAAGGAATAAACACACCATGTAGTAGGATTTAAAAAAAAAAAAAAAGTAAATAAAGTAAGAGCTCCTAGACTTTGAGTGGGAATACATCAGGAATGGAAAGCTAAAGCACACCGGTTGTTTGCAAGTGCAGTATGAGGAGCAATGTGCAAATTGGAGGAGAATTGAAGCTGAGGAGGGATTTACTTACCCTGAATATTTCCTACCATTCTCACAGACTCGGGACCCACGCTGATATCAGCAAAAAGGGTAATGGTGAAAGTGGCACAAAGGGCAGGACTATTTTTTTCCAGCCCCCCTCAGTGCATCACAGGTATGTAGGATACACCCGGCAGGTTCTTCCTTGCCCACACCACCAAAAACACGTGTGGGCCCCCCTGTTTACAATATTTATCCAGACATAATTATTTCTCCTTCTTTATGGATG